TTAACTGACAATTGCGCAGTCATCCAATACGTAAATGAAATTTACATCCTTTTTCTACACAAATAGAGCTTTCTTTCGGTGGTATTTGATCACCTGTGCGCTTTTTATTTTTGGTGCTATAAACAAAACAAATGTTGAAAACTTTTAAAAAAACAACTTTTTTTGAAAAAAAAATATATTTTCTCGTTTCTGTCATAAAAAATATCTAAAAAAACTCAAATCTCATCATAAATTTAGGCCAAAATGTATTCTGCTACATGTTTTTGGTTAAAAAAAATCCCAATAAGTGTAAATTGATTGCTTTGCGTGAAAGGTATAGCATCTACAAACTATGGGATAAATAATGGAATTTACACAGCTTTTACTTTCTGACTGCCCATCACATTTCTTGAGGTGGTAAAATACCAGGATAGTACAAATATCCCCAAATGACCCCTTTTTTGGAAAGTAGACACTCTAAGCTATCTGCTTAGAGGCATATTGAGTCCATGGAAGATTTATTTTTTCCACAAGTTGGAAAATGACAAAAACTTTTTTTTATTGTACACAAAATTGTCATTTAAATTATATATTTCTCACACAAGCCATGGGTATATGTGAAATTACACCCCAAAATACATTCTGCTACTTCTATCGAGTATGAGGATACCACATGTGTAAGACTTTTTGGGAGCCTAGCCACATACAGGAGCCTGAAATCCAATGACCACTTTGAAAACCTGAAGGTGCATAACTTCCTCATTTCACTTCCTCACTACCTATCACAGTTTCGGAGGCCCTGCAATGCCAGGATAGCACCAAACCCCCCCCCCCCCCCCAAAAAAAATGATCCCTATTTGGAAAGTAGACATCCCAAAGAATTTAAAAAGAAGCATGGTGAGTATTTTGCAGGTCTCATTTTTTCTCACAAGGTTTTGAAATAAAAAAAAATGAGATCTGCAAAATACTCACCATGCTTCTTATCAAATTCCTTGGGGTGTCTACTTTCCAAAAAGGGGTCATTTGGGGGGGTTAGGTGCTATCCTGTCATTTCAGGGCCTCCAAAACTGTGATAGGTAGTCAGGAAGTATAATGAGGAAATAAAGCCCTTTAAAAGCATGAAGGTGCTTATTGGATTTTGGGGTCCTGTACTTGGCTTGACTGCCAAAAAGTATCTCATATGTGGTACCCCCATACTCGAGAGAAGTAGCAGAATGTATTTTGGGGAGTAATTCCACATATACCCAAGGCATGTGTGAGCAATAAATCATGTAAGTGACAATTTTGTGTAAAAAATATATTTTTTTTGGTCATTTTCCAAAAACTTGTGGTAAAAAAATAAATTCTTCTATTGACTCAACATGCCTCTCAGCAAATAGTTTGGGGTGTCTACTTTCCAAAAATTGGTCGTTTTTGGGGGGTGGAAACATTTTATGCCCAGCATTAGACGTTTATGCCACACATCACTCACTCTTCTAACCACCTGAAGACCACGCCTTTTCTGACACTTTTTGTTCACATGAAAAAAATCTGTATTTTTTGGTAAGAAATTACTTTGAACCCCTGAACATTATATATTTTTTAAAGCAGACACCCTAGTGAATAAAATGGTGGGTGCTGCAATTTTTTTTGTCACATAGTACTGACGCAGCGATTTTTCAAACGCACATTTTTTTAAAAAAATACACTTTTTTTACTTTTAATGCACAAAAACACAATATATTGGCCAATTACAGTCAGGTCTATAAATATTGGGACATCGACACAATTCTAACATTTTTGGCTCTATACACCACCACAATGGATTTGAAATGAAATGAACAAGATGTGTTTTAACTGCAGACTGTCAGCTTTAATTTGAGGGTATTTACATCCAAATCAGGTGAACGGTGTAGGAATGACAACAGTTTGCATATGTGCCTCCCACTTGTTAAGGGACCAAAAGTAATGGGACAGAATAATAATCTTAAATCAAACTTTCACTTTTTAATACTTGGTTGCAAATCCTTTGCAGTCAATTACAGCCTGAAGTGTGGAACGCATAGACATCACCAGACACTGGGTTTCATCCCTGGTGATGCTCTGCCAGGCCCCTACTGCAACTGTCTTCAGTTCCTGCTTGTTCTTGGGGCATTTTCCCTTCAGTTTTGTCTTCAGCAAGTGAAATGCATGCTCAATTGGATTCAGGTCAGGTGATTGACTTGGCCATTGCAGAACATTCCACTTCTTTCCCTTAAAAAACTCTTTGGTTGCTTTTGCAGTATGCTTTGGGTCATTGTCCATCTGCACTGTGAAGCGGCATCCAATGAGTTCTGAAGCATTTGGCTGAATATGAGCAGATAATATTGCCCGAAACACTTCAGAATTCATCCTGCTGCTTTTGTCAGCAGTCATATCATCAATAAATACAAGAGAAGCAGTTCCATTGGCAGCCATACATGCCCACGCCATGACTCTACCACCACCATGCTTCACTGATGAGGTGGTATGCTTAGGATCATGAGCAGTTCCTTTCCTTCTCCATACACTTCTCTTCCCATCACTCTGGTACAAGTTGATCTTGGTCTCATCTGTCCATAGGATGTTGTTCCAGAACTGTGAAGGCTTTTTTAGATGTCGTTTGGCAAACTCTAATCTGGCCTTCCTGTTTTTGAGGCTCACCAATGATTTACATCTTGTGGTGAACCCTCTGTATTCACTCTGGTGAAGTCTTCTCTTGATTGGTGACTTTGACACACATACACCTACCTCCTGGAGAGTGTTCTTGATCTGGCCAACTGTTGTGAAGGGTGTTTTCTTCACCAGGGAAAGAATTATTCGGTCATCCACCACAGTTGTTTTCCGTGGTCTTCCGGATCTTTTGGTGTTGCTGAGCTCACTGGTGCGTTCCCTCTTCTTAAACAATGTTCCAAACAGTTGTTTTGGTCACGCATAATGTTTTTGCTATCTTTCTGATGGGTTTGTTTTGTTTTTTCAGCCTAATGATGGCTTGCTTCACTGATAGTGACAGCTCTTTGGATCCCATCTTGAGAGTTGACAGCAACATATTCCAAATGCAATTAGCACACTTGAAATGAACTCTGGACCTTTTATCTGCTCATTGTAATTGGGATAATGAGGGAATAACACACACCTGGCCATGGAACAGCTGAGAAGCCAATTGTCCCATTACTTTTGGTCCCTTAACAAGTGGGAGGCACATAGGCAAACTGTTGTAATTCCTACACTGTTCACCTGATTTGGATGTAAATACCCTCAAATTAAAGCTGACAGTCTGCAGTTAAAGCACATCTTGTTCGTTTCATTTCAAATACATTGTGGTGGTGTATAGAGCCAAAAATGTTAAAATTGTGTCCATGTCCCAATATTTATGGACCTGACTGTATTTGGTAAAATATAAAAGAGGATGGTATGCCAAGTAAATAGATACCATATCTGATGTGCTTTAAAACTACGCATGCCCTATGCAATGGCGACAAACTGCATACACTTTTAATATGCATAGGCAAAGCTTTAATAGCTTTTACAAGCTACCATTTTAGATTTACAGAGGAGATCTAGTGCTAGAATTACTGCCCTGATCTGATGTTCGCAGTGATACCTCATATGCATGGCGCAACCGCTGTTTACATACCGTCACAAGGTCAACGCTCATGCACACAGGTGTGCATTCACGCGGGGGGCAAGGGTGCTTTTTTTTTAAGTTATTTAGATTTTTTTTATTATTATTTTTACACTGTCCCTTTCATTTTTTTTATCACTTTTAATGCTATCACAGGGAATGCAAATATCCCCTATAACTTCAATGGGCATTGTCATATATTCTTTTTTGAGAAATCTGGGGTCTATCAGACTCTACATATCTCCACTGCCCTTACATTATCTAATCTCACCAAGATTGGTGTGATCAGATGCTTTCTCAATTTACAAATGGCGCTGTTTATATCCTGCAAAACTGAAGTGATGAAATGCTTGTAGCTTCCGATTTCTTAGACTATAGAAATGATTGGCAGCATTCTGGTCTCCAATCAGCTCTATGGTCAGCTGGCAGAAACACCGGCTGCATTCTCAGGTTCCCCCGATGGCGCTGGACTGCCTGAGAAGGCCGTGGAAGGCAGCAGGGGAGGGGGGGAATTGTCTCCCACTGCTAGTAAAAGCAATTCTGCAGCTAATTGGCCACTAGGATTGCTTTTTACATGAAAGCTGATCGCTGGCTGAAAAATAAACGATACCAGGATGATGCCTGCAGCTGTAGGCATCATCCTGGAATAACCATTTAAAGTCCAGTGATGTACCAGTACGTCGCTGGTCCTTGTTGGGTATATGCTGTTTTTTTTTGTATACAGCATGTGGGCTGAATGAAAAGAAAGAAGAAATCTGCCAGAAAAAGTGTGTGTGGTATGCCCACCATTAGAATATACCGCCCTGCATCCAGTGGGCACACATTAGGTCGCACTGTGCCACATGCGTCAATTCCAAGATTGTACAAATGTCTAAAAAGTTGCACGCTTGAATAAAAAAATTGTCCACGTATAAGTGGTACCCTATATGGAAAAAAGATGATACCAAGTCCCAAACTATCTTGCCTCTACTCCCCATGTAGTCTGGGCATCCGGGGGGCTCCACGTGACTATCTTTTCCCTCGTAAATCTGAAACTTATATGTATAGCCTGATGCCCCTCTCACAGGTCTTATACTTCTTGACCCCGTATCTGGCACACTTGCTGAGGAGAAATTGTTTGAATGCAAGGCGGCCAGAAAAATTAACGAGAGACTCATCAACACAGATTTTTTGCTGGGGAGTATAGGCATCTGCAAATTTTTGGCTAAGGTGATTTACGAGGGGCCGAATTTTTTGTGGAGCCGGTCATGTTCAGGGTCACCCCGAGGACGACAGAGTGTGTTGTCGTTGAAATGCATAAAACACATTATACTCTCATATCTAGAGATGAGCGAAGAAATGAAAAATTCGATTCGACTGATTCGGCGAATTCGTGGACAATATTCGATTCGAGTCGAATAAATTCGCTGTCACAGTGTGTGGCGGTGGAGGCAGCAGCAATGGGAGGCCATACAGCAACCTATGACAAAATGGAAACCAGCAGGAGTGTGAGGAGACCTGAAAGTGGCACATGGCAGAGTGGGGAGCAATGGGAGGCGGTAAGGGTACAAGGACCCATGTCACACTGTGGACCCAGCAGCAGCGTGACGAGGCGGGTACGGGGGCCCATGGCAGATTTGGGGCCTGGCAGCACCTATGGGAGGCCTGTAATCTGCCAGCAACCTATGACAAAATGGAAACCAGCAGGAGTGTGAGGAGACCTGAAAGTGGCACATGGCAGAGTGGGAGCAATGGGAGGCGGTACAGGGACCCATGTCACACTGTGGACCCAGCAGCAGCGTGACCAGGCGGTACGGGGGGCCCATGGCAGATTACAGGCTGGGCAGCAGCAATGGGAGGCCCGTAATCTGCCAGCACCCTATGACAAAAAATGGAACACACCAGCAGTGTGTGAGGAGACCTGAAAGTGGCACATGGCAGAGTGTGGCGATGGAGACAGCAGCAATGGGAGGCCGTACAGGGACCATGAGAGACTGTGGACCTGGCAGCAGCATGAGGAGGCGGTATAGGGGCCCATGGCAGATTAGGGGCCTGGTAGCAGCTATAGGAGGCCCGTAATCTGGCAGCACCCTATGACAAAAAATTGAACACACCAGCAGTGTGTGAGGAGACCTGAAAGTGGCACATGGCATGAGAGACTCTGGACCTGGCAGCAGCATGAGGAGGCGGTATATTAGGGGCCCATGGCAGATTAGGGGCCTGGCAGCAGCTATGGGAGGCCCGTAATCTGCCAGCACCCTATGTCAAAAAATTGAAAACACAAGCAGTGTGTGAGGAGACCTGAAAGTGGCACATGTTTTGGGGCATGATTCATGGCAGATTTAGTCAGTTGTGTCAGGAACTGGTGGTTTGAAATCCAGACTAATCCACGCCTGATTCATTTTCACAAACGTGAGTCTCTCCACACTTTGGGTGGACAGTCGTGTCCTCCGGGAGTTGCAATACCTCCTGCCGCACTAAACACGCGCTCCGATGCCACGCTACTGGCCGGGCATGACAGCCTTTCAAGGGCAAATTCAGCTAGTTGGGGCCAAAGGTCAAGTTTCGTTGCCCAGTAGTCAAGGGGATTGTCTACCTCGGTTGGCAGGGTGCTGTCCAAGTAGGCCCAAGCCTGTTGTTTGAGCTCCTGCTCCAGGTCCACCTGATGCTGCTGCTGCTGCTGCGGCTGGTTAGTAGTTTCCTCACTGCGCTGGTGAAGAAAGCTACTCAATCACCGACTGCAGACTGAGGCAGCCGCTGCTGGTGGAGCTGCCACTGCTCCTACCACCCCACCCCTCCCCTGCTGCCATGCCAGCGGAACGCGAGCGCACAGGGCCCACAGTGTCTGAGGATGGACGTTGGCGCACAAAGGCAGAGACCAACTGACTACATAGGTGGTTTTTATAGTACGTAATTTTGGCCTCCCTCTCAGCAGGTGTGAAAAAGGCCACCATTTTGGACCGGGGTAGCGAGGGTCCAACAAGGTGGACAGCCAAAAGTCATCCCTCTGTCTGATGGTTATTATTCGGCTGTCGCTACGCAAGCAAGCGAGCATGCTATGGGCCATTTGTGCCAAGGAATGCGAGGGACTCCCTGCCTCCATCTCCACAGCATACTGCCACGGTGCGTCTGGGTCCTCTGTCTCCTCCTCCTCTACCAGATGCTCCTGCTCCTCCACTCCTGTCCGCTGAGTGGAAAAAACCACCCATTTCACTCAATAATTCCTGAGCACCAATGTCCTCCTCTACCTCCTCCTCTTCTTCCTGTCCTGCCCCCACAGGGGTCATGTGGCGTTGAGATCTGTGCGCCACGTCTACCGCACCCTGACCAGCCATTGTTAACAGCATTTGTTCCAGGACGTGCAACAGAGGAATGACGTCGTTCATCCCATAGTCCTGCCGACTCACGAATAGCGTGGCCTCCTCAAAGGGCCTGAGCAAGCGGCAGGTGTCACGCATGAGCTGCCAATGGCTGACATCTAAGTTACACAGGGAGTACCTTTATCCGCTTTTAACATCAGGAAATCTGTGATGGCCTTTCGCTGTTCGTAAAGGCGGGTCTAACATATGTAGGGTTGAATTCCACCTTGTTGCAACGTCACAGCATGAGGAGTCGGTACGGGGGCCCATGGCAGATTACGTGCCTGGCAGCAGCAATGGGAGGCCCGTAATCTGCCAGCACCCTATGTCAAAAAATTGAACACACCAGCAGTGTGAGGAGACCTGAAAGTGGCACATGGCAGAGTGTGGCGATGGAGACAGCAGCACTGGGAGGCCAGTACAGTGGACCCATGACACACTCTGGATTGGCAGCAGCATGAGGAGGTTATATAGGGGCCCATGGCAGATTAGGGGCCTGGCAGCAGCTATAGGGAGGCCCGTAATCTGGCACGCACCCTATGTCAAAAAATTCAACACACACAGCAGTGTGTGAGGAGACCCTGAAAGTGGCACATGGCAGAGTGTGGCGATGGAGACAGCAGCAATGGGAGGCCGTATAGGGACCCATGAGAGACTCTGGAACTTGGCAGCAGCATGAGGAGGCGGTATATAGGGGCCCATGGCAGATTAGGGCCTGGCAGCAGCTATGGGAGGTCCGTAATCTGCCAGCACCCTATGTCAAAAAATTCAACACACCAGCAGTGTGTGAGGAGACCTGAAAGTGGCACATGGCAGAGTGTGGCGATGGAGACAGCAGCAATGGGAGGCCGTACAGGGACCCATGAGAGACTCTGGACCTGGCAGCAGCATGAGGAGGCGGTATATAGGGGCCCCATGGCAGATTAGGGGCCTGGCAGCAGCTATAGGAGGCCCGTAATCTGCCAGCACCCTATGTCAAAAAATTCAACACACCAGCAGTGTGTGAGGAGACCTGAAAGTGGCACATGGCAGAGTGTGGCGATGGAGGACAGCAGCAATGGGAGGCCGTACAGGGACCCATGAGAGACTCTGGACTGGCAGCAGCATGAGGAGGCGGTATATAGGGGCCCATGGCAGATTAGGGGCCTGGCAGCAGCTATAGGGGGCCCGTAATCTGCCAGCACCCTATGTCAAAAAATTCAACACACCAGCAGTGTGTGAGGAGACCTGAAAGTGGCACATGGCAGAGTGTGGCGATGGAGACAGCAGCAATGGGAGGCCGTACAGGGACCCATGAGAGACTCTGGAACTGGCAGCAGCATGAGGAGGCGGTATATAGGGGCCTATGCAGATTAGGGGCCTGGCAGCAGCTATAGGAGGCCCGTAATCTGCCAGCACCCTATGTCAAAAAATTCAACACACCAGCAGTGTGTGAGGAGACCTGAAAGTGGCACATGGCAGAGTGTGGCGATGGAGACAGCAGCAATGGGAGGCCGTACAGGGACCCATGAGAGACTCTGGAACTGGCAGCAGCATGAGGAGGCGGTATATAGGGGCCCATGGCAGATTAGGGGCTGGCAGCAGCTATAGGAGGCCCGTAATCTGCCAGCACCCTATGTCAAAAAAATTCAACACACCAGCAGTGTGTGAGGAGACCTGAAAGTGGCACATGGCAGAGTGTGGCGATGGAGACAGCAGCAATGGGAGGCCGTACAGGGACCCATGAGAGACTCTGGAACTGGCAGCAGCATGAGGAGGCGGGTATATAGGGGCCCATGGCAGATTAGGGGCCTGGCAGCAGCTATAGGGGCCCGTAATCTGGCAGCACCCTATGTCAAAAAATTCAACACACCAGCAGTGTGAGGAGACCTGAAAGTGGCACATGGCAGAGTGTGGCGATGGAGACAGCAGCAATGGGAGGCCGTACAGGGACCCATGAGAGACTCTGGAACTGGCAGCAGCATGAGGAGGCGGGGGGTATATATAGGGGCCCATGGCAGATTAGGGGCCTGGCAGCAGCTATAGGGGGCCCGTAATCTGGCAGCACCCTATGTCAAAAAATTCAACACACCAGCAGTGTGTGAGGAGACCTGAAAGTGGCACATGGCAGAGTGTGGCGATGGAGACAGCAGCAATGGGAGGCCGTACAGGGACCCATGAGAGACTCTGGAACTGGCAGCAGCATGAGGAGGCGGTATATAGGGGCCCATGGCAGATTAGGGGCCTGGCAGCAGCTATGGGAGGCCCGTAATCTGCCAGCACCCTATGACAAAAAATGTAACACAACCAGCAGTGTGAGGAGACCTGAAAGTGGCACATGGCAGAGTGTGGCGATGGAGACAGCAGCAATGGGAGGCCGTACAGGGACCCATGAGAGACTCTGGAACTGGCAGCAGCATGAGGAGGCGGTATATAGGGGCCCATGGCAGATTAGGGGCCTGGCAGCAGCTATGGGAGGCCGTAATCTGCCAGACACCTATGACAAAAAATGTAACACACCAGCAGTGTGAGGAGACCTGAAAGTGGCACATGGCAGAGTGTGGCGATGGAGACAGCAGCAATGGGAGGCCGTACAGGGACCCATGAGAGACTCTGGAACTGGCAGCAGCATGAGGAGGAGGCGGTATATAGGGGCCCATGGCAGATTAGGGGCTGGCAGCAGCTATAGGGGGCCCGTAATCTGGCAGCACCCTATGTCAAAAAATTCAACACACCAGCAGTGTGTGAGGAGACCTGAAAGTGGCACATGGCAGAGTGTGGCGATGGAGACAGCAGCAATGGGGAGGCCGTATAGGGACCCATGAGAGACTCTGGACTTGGCAGCAGCATGAGGAGGCGGTATATAGGGGCCCATGGCAGATTAGGGGCCTGGCAGCAGCTATGGGAGGCCGTAATCTGCCAGCACCCTATGTCAAAAAATTCAACACACCAGCAGTGTGTGAGGAGACCTGAAAGTGGCACATGGCAGAGTGTGGCGATGGAGACAGCAGCAATGGGAGGCCGTACAGGGACCCATGAGAGACTCTGGACCTGGCAGCAGCATGAGGAGGCGGTATATAGGGGCCTATGGCAGATTAGGGGCCTGGCAGCAGCTATAGGAGGCCCGTAATCTGCCAGCACCCTATGTCAAAAAAATTCTACAACCACAGCAGTGTGTGAGGAGACCTGAAAGTGGCACATGGCAGAGTGTGGCGATGGAGACAGCAGCAATGGGAGGCCGTACAGGGACCCATGAGAGACTCTGGAAACTGGCAGCAGCATGAGGAGGCGGTATATAGGGGCCCATGGCAGATTAGGGGCCTGGCAGCAGCTATGGGAGGCCCGTAATCTGCCAGCACCTATGTCAAAAAATTCAAACACCAGCAGTGTGTGAGGAGACCTGAAAGTGGCACATGGCAGAGTGTGGCGATGGAGACAGCAGCAATGGGAGGCCGTACAGGGACCCATGAGAGACTCTGGAACCTTGGCAGCAGCATGAGGAGGCGGGGTATATAGGGGCCTATGGCAGATTAGGGGCCTGGCAGCAGCTATAGGAGGCCCGTAATCTGCCAGCACCCTATGTCAAAAAATTCTACATACCAGCAGTGTGTGAGGAGACCTGAAAGTGGCACATGGCAGAGTGTGGCGATGGAGACAGCAGCAATGGGAGGCCGTAAGGGGACCCATGAGAGACTCTGGACTGGCAGCAGCATGAGGAGGCGGTATATATAGGGGCCCATGGCAGATTAGGGGCCTGGCAGCAGCTATGGGAGGCCCCGTAATCTGCAGCACCCTATGTCAAAAAATTCAACACACCAGCAGTGTGTGAGGAGACCTGAAAGTGGCACATGGCAGAGTGTGGCGATGGAGACAGCAGCAATGGGAGGCCGTACAGGGACCCATGAGAGACTCTGGACTGGCAGCAGCATGAGGAGGCGGTTATATAGGGGCCCATGGCAGATTAGGGGCTGGCAGCAGCTATGGGGGCCCGTAATCTGCCAGCACCTATGTCAAAAAATTCAACACACCAGCAGTGTGAGGAGACCTGAAAGTGGCACATGGCAGAGTGTGGCGATGGAGACAGCAGCAATGGGAGGCCGTACAGGGACCCATGAGAGACTCTGGACTGGCAGCAGCATGAGGAGGCGGTATTATATGGGGCCCATGGCAGATTAGGGGCCTGGCAGCAGCTATGGGAGGCCCGTAATCTGCCAGCACCCTATGTCAAAAATTCAACACACCAGCAGTGTGTGAGGAGACCTGAAAGTGGCACATGGCAGAGTGTGGCGATGGAGACAGCAGCAATGGGAGGCCGTACAGGGACCCATGAGAGACTCTGGAACTGGCAGCAGCATGAGGAGGCGGTATATAGGGGCCCATGGCAGATTAGGGGCCTGGCAGCAGCTATGGGGGCCCGTAATCTGCCAGCACCTATGTCAAAAAATTCAACACACCAGCAGTGTGAGGAGACCTGAAAGTGGCACATGGCAGAGTGTGGGCGATGGAGACAGCAGCAATGGGAGGCCGTACAGGGACCCATGAGAGACTCTGGAACTGGCAGCAGCATGAGGAGGCGGTATATAGGGGCCCATGGCAGATTAGGGGCCTGGCAGCAGCTATGGGAGGCCCGTAATCTGCCAGCACCCTATGTCAAAAAAATTCAAAACACCAGCAGTGTGTGAGGAGACCTGAAAGTGGCACATGGCAGAGTGTGGCGATGGAGACAGCAGCAATGGGAGGCCGTATAGGGACCCATGAGAGACTCTGGACTTGGCAGCAGATGAGGAGGCGGTATATAGGGGCCCATGGCAGATTAGGGGCCTGGCAGCAGCTATGGGGGCCGTAATCTGCCAGCACCCTATGTCAAAAAATTCAACACACCAGCAGTGTGTGAGGAGACCTGAAAGTGGCACATGGCAGAGTGTGGCGATGGAGACAGCAGCAATGGGAGGCCGTACAGGGACCCATGAGAGACTCTGGACCTGGCAGCAGCAGCAGCTGAGGAGGCGGTATATAGGGGCCCATGGCAGATTAGGGCCTGGCAGCAGCTATGGGAGGCCAGTAATCTGCCAGCACCCTATGTCAAAAAATTCAACACACCAGCAGTGTGAGGAGACCTGAAAGTGGCACATGGCAGAGTGTGGCGATGGAGACAGCAGCAATGGGAGGCCGTACAGGGACCCATGAGAGACTCTGGACTGGCAGCAGCATGAGGAGGCGGTATATAGGGGCCTATGGCAGATTAGGGGCCTGGCAGCAGCTATAGGGGGCCCGTAATCTGCCAGCACCCTATGTCAAAAAATTCAACACACCAGCAGTGTGTGAGGAGACCTGAAAGTGGCACATGGCAGAGTGTGGCGATGGAGACAGCAGCAATGGGAGGCCGTACAGGGACCCATGAGAGACTTGGACCTGGCAGCAGCATGAGGAGGCGGTATATAGGGGCCCATGGCAGATTAGGGGCCTGGCAGCAGCTATGGGAGGCCCGTAATCTGCCAGCACCCTATGTCAAAAAATTCAAACACACCAGCAGTGTGTGAGGAGACCTGAAAGTGGCACATGGCAGAGTGTGGCGATGGAGACAGCAGCAATGGGAGGCCGTACAAGGACCCATGAGAGACTCTGGACCTGGCAGCAGCATGAGGAGGCGGTATATAGGGGCCTATGGCAGATTAGGGGCCTGGCAGCAGCTATAGGAGGCCCGTAATCTGCAGCACCCTATGTCAAAAAATTCAACACACCAGCAGTGTGTGAGGAGACCTGAAAGTGGCACATGGCAGAGTGTGGCGATGGAGACAGCAGCAATGGGAGGCCGTACAGGGACCCATGAGAGACTCTGGACTGGCAGCAGCATGAGGAGGCGGTATATAGGGGCCCATGGCAGATTAGGGGCCTGGCAGCAGCTATGGGAGGC